TTTGATACTTGATGTTTTTCCACCATTGTTACACTGTTGAAGGTTTTGCAAATCAATTATTTTCATGAAAATAATGAAGTTTCTGTGTTAAATTTTGTTTTAATAATGGGATAATCGTAGTATTTCTAATTCTGAGCGTTTGGCATTTTACGAAATAAAAATCGGAGTTTCGGAGGTCCTCAAATGGTGAAAATCGCATTCTGATTTTTGCATGTTTGTACGCCGTGTGTTAGCGATGGAAGCGCCGCTTAGAGAGTCTCCACTTAGCGGGGGAGGTCCTCGTGTAGGGAGACGTTTTAGCAACGAAATTCTTATATTTTTGTTTTTACCATAACTTGAGTTTTGTAACTCAAAATGAGATGTGGTTTGAAGTGTTGGAAAGTTAACATGAATTACTATCAATTGGTAATAATTTCACAGGATGAATGCGTTGTGGTAATAAGAGTAGTTGATGCGAACGATTATTAAAAAATTATTTGATCGAATAAATATCAAGTTGTGCGAGTTTGAGAAATATGCTTGATGAGTTGCGAAAATGTTTGAATATCTTTCTATGACGAGATGTTAAGGGTTAAACATAAGTATGAAATATAATTTTTTTTGAGATGAATTATTAGCATGTTTGTGTTGCACTATTGATTGATAATGTGCATTTTATGATTTTGGTGTGATGTAATTCATAAAGAAGCTCACTTGAGTTGTCAATGCATTTATGTTAGGATCAGAAAGGGGTCTTGACGCATTTATTTGATGATCATGAATCATACGAGTTGTATCAAGAGGCATGTATGTTAGTTCAGAGAGGGTCAACTATGTCAACTATGGTCAATATACACTAAGGTCAACTATGTGATACGTTAGTATTTGTTCTCATTCATACAATAAAAGGGTGCCATTTGGCTATATTTATAAGTTATAAAAGTATTTATTGATGTACAACAAAATTGACTACATTGACAAAATGGTTATAAGCTTCTTGAACAAGATATGTCAATGTTGTACCATAGTCATCTATAGTTCCATGAGATCGAAAATTTTCTTCTTTAAGGTCTACTGAAAGTGTTGTATCCTACAATCTCACATAACAAGCTCATAAGGAAAACATGTTTATTATGATTATAGCCAAAATTATCTTAAATTTTAAGATGTAAAATTGTAACATGTAAAAATTTAACGTGCTAATTTCTTACTAAAAACTTACTTTTGAAACTGGCAAACAGCCAAACACATTTCTTCCATATTATGTCATACACACTTTTAAGCACACAAATATCTAAATTGTATATGGTGTATGCACACCATATACCTTGACACACTAACAAACAACCGTACACACTCCTTCTATATCATGATCATATAAACTTTTAAACACACAAATATACCTTAACTCACTCCTTGCGAGCTAACACTTCCAACTCCATGTAAGTTATCATCTCATGATCCATCCAAACTACCATTTCCAACTCTATGCAAACTACCTTCTCCATGTTCCATCTTCCAATAAAATAAAGATAATGGAATTATCTAGCACAAGATATTAAAAAACATATTATAAGATTAAGATAAACTTAAACAAACATATCAAACAACATATTATAAGACATTAAGATGAACTTAAACTATCATATTTATAACATATTATGAACATAAATTCAATTTTTTTTCCACAAAGTTAAACGTATTATAAGATCAACTCCATTGATTTCACATAGTTAAAAATATTATAAACCCCTTCTCCTTCGTTTCAAACATCAAACCCCTGGTACTAAATATCATTCCTTCCATTCAAATACACTATTAAAAATCCAACCATACTTATTTGATACAAACATCAAACCACTTCAATTAAAGATCATCCATTATATTCAAACATCAAACATATCAAACATCGAACCACTGCAACTAAATATTATTCATTCGATTCAAACATAGTATTGCAAATCAAAACCCCTACTCTTTTTCAAAAAAAAAAATTTCTAAAAAAAAAATAAATAATAAAAATTCATGCTAAATATTTTTTAAACAATAATCAAACAAGTTCCAAAACAACCGAAAAAAATGTTTGAAGAAGAGTTCAAATTCTGATTTAAAAGCATCTACAAACTTTAATTTTACTTCAAAATGTGCACCTCCATTCAAAGTGGTAGAGGTAATGGAAAACTGCTGGTACCGATAACAAAAATGATAAGGGAAAGACAAACACACATACACACACACACACACACACACAGAGAGAGAGAGAGAGAGAGAGAGAGAGAGAGAGAGAGAGAGAGAGAGAGAGAGAGAGAGAGAGAGAGAGAGAGAGAGAGAGAGAGAGAGAGAGAGAGAGAGAGAGAGAGAGAGAGAGAGAGAGAGAGAGAGAGAGAGAGAGAGAGAGAGAGAGAGAGAGAGAGAGAGAGAGAGAGAGAGAGAGAGAGAGAGAGAGAGAGAGAGAGAGAGAGAGAGAGAGAGAGCTTACATGATTAGTGGAGGTTCGTGGTGGCATGGTGCTTAAGATAGAAAGGCAGATGAAGAAACGATGACAACAGTAGAAAAAGGAATACAATGTGAAATCCCATAAAAGCGATACTAAAATGAAATTGGAATGGAAATGAAACCCTACGGTGACTCTAATGGAATGAAAGTGTTTGTTTATGTTGAGATGAAGTGCAGTTTGGGTCAAGTGAAATAAATTTTCAAATACGATCCGCCCATTATTATCTCAATCCAATTAATCTCACTAAACCTCATAAAATAACCCCTTCCTAGGCTGGTCAATTTTGGATTTTGATGCCCCCAAATAAACCATCCAAAATCGATCGATACAAACCATGTCAACTCATTCTTGAGCAAACCGATCACTCAATAACCCGACCAATCAGAACCGCTCATTATCGGTCTCCCTTGAATAGGTCAGATTAGGCCGGTCTGATAATTTTTGTTCATCCCTATTTTATGGTGATTCAAATTTCATTTGATGTGTTTTGTATATAATATGTCAATTTTGTTATAAGACTTTCATTTTATCATGTTCAATTATTGTAAAAGTAAGAAAAATTGCTATTTTGACATTAATTTCCTACACCTAAATCATATCTTACTGTTTATAAGATACATTTTTTAAAAATATTTCTTTATAAATTATATTTTGAATTTTTGAATTTTTTTATAAAAAAAATACTATTCACTCTATAGGTTGAACGTGATGTTAAATTTGGGGGGTAAAAGTTAGTATAACATACTTGTAAAAGTAACTCTTAGTATTACATTTAGTAATTTTTTTTAATTGTAAGAAAATAATATATAAACTTTACTTATATAAAAAAGAAAAGAATAAAAAGTACCACTCCACCTAAAAAAAGAGAAAGAATAAAAATGTACCACCTCTCTCCATCAATCAACATCAACAAATGGTACAATGTTGGCTAATTTCAAAGTTGACCTAAACCACTAAATCAATAAATAATTAAATATCATAGCAATATAATTCACAATTTGAACTAGTTTTATGTGTTATTCCGTTACCTACCCAAAGAAAGAGATTAGAAAGAAAAATAAATAATTAAGATAGTAGAACATAGAAGACACATTGGAAGGTGACAAAGTAGTTAACTTACCCAACATTGGTTTAATCTTAGCTTTCAAACCAAACATGATGTATCCTTCTATGTTTCTATTTGATAGATGACCAATAATTTTGAAAGCCATTTCTCAACCATAGTATATAATTTGTGTGCTAAGCAATAAGGGTCATTTGTTCATAACACTTTCTAGTTCCTTAGCCTCTACTATTTTGGTACATTATGTTGATTCATATATATGATCACTTTAATCATTACATTTCCCATTAATTATATAAAGATTATGATCATGTCTTGGTTAATGAATCTGATAAAAACATTAAACATGATTAAGTTGTGCTAATTGGTTTGACCTGCAAAGAAAAGGTAATGTTTCATGAACTCATAATGATGAAGTAGGTTCCGAAACTAAGATTGATGTGATAACCATACTTTAATTGGTTCATTTTCTACGTTAAAGCTTGTACTTATTTAGTGGGGAGGGGAGCAAATTATATTAAGAAGTCAAATCACAAATATAAGAAATAAATAAATAGTATCATTAATTGTTGCTAATTATAAGAGCACATTAATTACCGTACAAAATTTTAAATAAAAATTAAAAATTAAATTGTATTTAATAAATAATATATTAAATAATAATTAATATTTTCATTTAATAACAAATGAGTACATATATGGCACACTAATTTCTACGACTGGGTTGAGGTAAATGTCAGTCTATACCACATCCTCTAGTACGTACGTTTCTTCGTGGTCTTTGTGGTGGAGTCGGGTCCAATGGGTTGTCTTCAAGAAATTGAATCATTTGGATCATTAAAAATATAATGATTATTACAACATAAACTAAGATATAACAACAAACAGTAATATCATCAGTTTCGAACATCATAGACTTAATTTCGTTGTCATCTTTAATTCGCACTCACTCTCGTCGTATATTTCCATCTGCAATCGAGAAGTACGAAACAAGTCTTTCAATACTTTTAATTCGCACCCACTCCCGCCGTATATTTATTAAATACAATTTAATTTTTAATTTTTATTTAATTTTTTAAAATATTTTATTTATTAAATATTATTTAACATATTATTTATTAAAAATAACTTTAAAAAATTCGTTTAAAGGTGACTCCATCATGGATGGCGCCCCCCTTATAATTATAAGGGTGACTCCATAGGGGATGGCGCCCCCCTTATAAGAAAAAAAATTTGTTTGAAATGTGGGTAGAATGAAAATTAATTTGAAATGGTGAGTATAATGATAAATAATAGGGTGAAATATGGGTATTAGGGTGAAAAATTCTCAATTTGGACCAATGTAAAAAATTGAAAAACTCGATAAATTAATAAGATAATAATTTTTCGGGAGATTCCTTTATAATTTTCGATCTCAAGAAAATCATAAATTAATAATTCATAGAAACTGAAAAAAATATATTACACTCTATTGAAATATGATTCAATAGTTGTCTGTTTTCCTTTAAAGTTCAAGTCTATTTGTAGGTCATCTCTAACTTTTCTTATTGCATCCAATAGCTCAAGTATTGTATTTTTGTATTGTATCATAAAGTTGTGAAGAGTGTTCGACGCCATAAGTGTTTCCTTCCGTGTAACAGGCTCCAAAGACACCGTATCATCTTCGTCGTCATCCTTTGCATTGTTCTCAATGATAGTACCCACAATATCTTCTAAATTTTGAATCTCCGAACATGCTTCATTTTCACCTGGGTAGTTCATTAGATTGTTGATATCCATCTTATTACGATAGCCACATTGATTGATCATAGTCTCAAGGTCTTGAGTTTCTTCATCAAAAGTGGATTCATCCAAATTTCTTGCAACGTCACTAGTTGAACGAATTTTACATTGTCGGAAGCAATTCGTTATTGTTTCTTTTCAAACATCTATCGTCCAAGCTGAGATTGGCAAATTGATAGCATCAAATACATTTATCTTCCCTGGATCAGATTGTCCCACCTCATAACCTTCCAATATTTTGCGGTAAAACCTTCTACGGTAGTGCATCTTGAAAGCTCTTATTATCCCAGCATCGCAAGGTTGAATCTTTGATGTCATGTTAGGTGGCAAGAAGAACAACTCAATGTTTCTTAGCCCTTCAATATTTCTTGGATGTGCTGGACAATTATCCACCATAAGTAGAACTCTTCTACCATGCATCATTTGGTCAAATGAACGAACATATTCATCAAAAAGCACACTAGTCATCCATGCTTTTTTGTTAGCTCGATACTGACAATCCAAGCTATTCATGTTGACATTCTTGAAGCAACGAGGCTTTGCATATTTCCCAATAATCCACAGAGGGATTTTTTCAGAGCCATCTTTATTGCAACAAATAACTATCGTCAGCCTTTCTTTATCTTGTTTTCTTCCTTCAAGTTGTTTTGTTGCCAGTGAATGATTAGCTTGTAGCCTATAAAACAACCCAGTTTCATCCATATTGAAAACATCTTTCATAGGGAACTGATCAATTTTCTCCCGAATCGATACCAATTTCTGCTCCATGTCTTGTAAATCAACAGACCCACTCTCGCCAAAACGAAGAAATGACTTTATGCCATGTCGGTTCTTGAATTTCCCAAGCCATCCTATAGAGAAGTTAAAATATGAATCATCATGAGGGTACACGAGTTTCATTGTATCTCTTGCCTTCTGCAAAATTAATTCTCTTGTGATATTCACACGTTTTTGATGTTGGAGAAACCATTCATAAACAACCTTCTCCATGTCAGGATATTTTGCTGGTTTGTGTTTTTTGATCTCTGCTCTTCCCTTTTCTATTTCAGCAGAGAGATAGTCATCTGACTGTTTAAGTGTGTTTGATATTGTTCCTTGACTAACTTTCAACTGAAATTTTTCCTCAAGCCATCTCTGCAAGTCTTTTTGTGTGCTTGCAGGATTATCTCTCTTGTACTCACACAACTCCTTACGTATTTGATCTGACATAGTTGATTTTGCAACACCTTTTAGATGAGAAGCCATTTTGTGAGATATTGTATGGTTTGAATACTCTAACACATTCATGTAATTTATATATGGTAAACTTGCTTAAGAATACATTGAACACATTTGTTCCTCTTGTTTACATTTACTGTACTTCAAAAGTCATTATTGATTTCTAATGCATATGAACACAATAGTTACTAATTTACGTTGAGTCCCAAGGTTCGCTGCAACGTAATTCTAAGAGGCATAGACTAATTTGTCTTTTTGTTTGGTAAGTACAGTATAATTACTTAAAAACTCTTTAAATTAATAATTATTAATTTATCGATAAATTAATAACTCTCTAAATTAATAAATTTCTCCGGTCCTGACATTATTAATTTAAAGAGTTTCTACTGTAAATGTGTTTTTATTTGTGGAGCTAAAACTCTCTTAGTCATGGTTGTATGTGAGTTTTTAATAGTTATTATTATATTATTTATAAATTTAAAAAATATTTTTTTATTATTTTATATTTTATATTAATAAAATAATTATTTTGTTTTTTATTAAACATAGAATTGCTCTATTAAATGATTATTTTTGTTAAAAATCATCCGAACCACAAGAGTAAAAAGCGTGCAGTTTGGTTTGGTTTGATTGACTTTTAAAAACCAAATCAAACCAAACTAATGCGGTTTGGTTTGATTCGGTTGATTTGATTTTAAAAAAATATATACATACATACACATATAAAGCACAACATAATTGTGTTTAGTCATTCATACATTACCAAATAACAATAAAATCCATCATATTTGAACAACAACTTCTCATTTAATATATGAAAAATAGATTAAACAAAAGTGGAATGATAAATATATAAAATAATAACATAAAAGATGAGGGATTAGAGAAGGAGATGTGCGATAAAAACAAAATTGCAAGAGAGAACAATAACATAAAAATTAGAAGATAAAAAAGAAAGAATATAAGAGAATGGAAGCTAGAGAAGAAGAGACAAGATGTACCTGGCGAAAAAGGTGTCATACTACTATAAGAGATTTGAAAAGGTTGAAATTGAAATCCTAAGTGTGAGAAAAAGGAAATCGTTCATAATCGTAAGACAAAAGCATAATAGGTTTGGAATTTTATTGGATGTGGGTTAAGTGAAGTTTAGGTTGTAACATAATATGGTTTTATTCAGGTTGGTTCAGTTTGCAATTTTATATTGTACTGGTTTGGTTTTGAACAGCCCTAAGAGACAATATAAATTATAAATAATGATAAGGATATATATCATGTATATGTGCCTATGTGTCTTCAAGGAACCTTGCAGTCTTCGTTAATGGTTGCCAGACCCATAAAGTTACTATTCAAATGGGCCTAAAGCAATGTGATCCTTGGATCCTTTCTTTTTTATGTTTGTGGAATAAGGTTTTAGTAGTTTGTTCTCTAGGATGGTGTAGTTGTATCTTTTCTCGGGTTTTAGAGTGAGCTCTTCAGATTTGGTTGTCTCCCTTCTTCAGTATGCAAATAACACGTATTCTAGAAGATGTCTCTATTGAGAATCGTTGGTCCGTCAAGGCAATCCTTTAGGGATTTGAGTTAGCATCAAGCCTCTAGGTAAATTTTGCTAAGAGCACTCTCATATAGGTTAATGTTAACCTTATTTTTTTACCTAGCCATGATTTCGTCAACTACAAGTAAAAGTCCCTCCTTTTCAATTGGGAACCTCTATTTAGCCTTATCTTTAGACGACTTATTTTATGGAGACATAAGTATGTCCCTGATGTATGTAATCCTAAGTATTTAGAAGATATGTGTGTCCACGATATCTAGTTGGATAATTTAGCCCTCTTGGACAAGTGGAAATGGTGTCTTATATCGGATGTCTCTGGTCTCTAACTTGATACTTTATTTGTTAGAAACAGAGTTATTCATTTTTCATCCTTCATGGGTGGCAGAGATGATGCTCTTCGATTTGTGTCTTCTTGGTGGATAGGTGTATCCCTCCTTAACTCCAAAATTGAGGATTCACCTAATTGGTTTATGGCTAGCCTCGATAAGAAAATTGGTTCTAGTAGTCTCATTTCCTTCTAAAAAGACCCTTAAGTTAGGACCATTCTTCTTAGTGTATTTTACTGAGGCTTTTCTCTATCTCCGGTTAAAGTGATCATTTCGTTGGGAGATTGAGGTGTCAGTGTGTGAAGTCTTAATAGAGAACCTTAAGTGGAAAAGAACCTTCCTTTTTTATTATGAGTTGGATTTGACTGCTAATCATCTTTTGGTCATTCCAGATTTTACCCCTTCCCCGAAGATTGATAAGTGGTGGTGACGTCATGCAAAATATGAAACATATTTTAGTCCTCGCTTACTCAAGCCTCCTTACTCTTGAGTTTCCTAGTGATTATTTGCTCAATCATGTGGATTTAGTTCTCCCTTGAATCTTGAGTAATTGGGATCCTTCTTAAATTGTTGTGTTCTCCTAGAAACTCTTTTAGGATAAAATTCTCATCATAGATAATTTGATTAAGAGAAGGGGGTCCCTCTAGTTTCAGGGGGGTGTTTATTGTCCCTTCTGTTTAGAGCCACTCGAATCAGGATTTCATCAGACCTATGAGATAGCGAAAATAGTTTGATATAGGGTCTTTAGTTGGTTGGGGGTGGTGTGTTATTTTCCATAGAGATCTCTTGTCTCTTTTTCAGATGTTTACTTGGTTTGGAGATGTGCCTATGATTAGGGGCAACCTTTTTATGACTTGGCATGCAATTGTTTGGTCATTATTGAAATATTTGAATGATATTATGTTTTCACATATGTTAGTGATAGCAAAGGACGTGGAAGATATGAGTATTCTCTTGGTTTGAAAATTATATCTTTATAGGTTTGTAAACAACTCTTATATTTTCTCTGCATGACTTGAAAACTCTATTATTTGTCTGAGCCAATAGAAGCTCGAGTGTCTTTGACCTTGCGACAAAATTCTTAGTGTTTTCCGTTGAGGCTGGTGTTTTGTTTGCCGAACTTGATTTGGTAAACTCTAACTTTTAGTCTTCATCTTTCGTAAGGCTTAGTTACTTGTCTTCACTAGTTTTTGCGGTTGAGTTAGATACTTCTTATGCTTCTTTTAGTTTACATTTATATAGTACTTAGAGACCTTTAGTTGTCTTTTTATCTTTAATATATTGTATTTTCCTTTTTTTTTAAATATCGACAAATTATCTTCAGGATGTATTTGGTATCCAGAGGATAACAAATACGATAAGAGTTTTTCTTTTCATGGTTTTGGCACATATCTCATAATAATATTAAATGATAAAGTTATGTTTGTGAAACAGAAACTTTTTTTCTTAATACTTTGTAATGTTTTAAAATTTTATACTAATTGATACAACTTAGTAAACAAATTCTTATCTTTTTTAATAGAAATAACAAGTAACTAAATTTTTTTTAATAGAAATAACAAGTAACTAAATAATATTTTTATAAGAACTAAATAATTTTACTTTAGATGTTAGATAAGCTAACTAAAATTATGTTATATATTATAAATGACAAAACAACCTTTATAATAAAACAATATTAATTTTTTTAAAATACTCATTTTGTTATTTATATTTTTTAAAAAAAATTATAATTAATTTAAATATAAATATTCTAATTTAAATATATTTTTAGTTTTTAATAATATAAATTACAAAATCACCCCTATAACAAAATCATGCATATTTTCAAATTAACTATAAATATTTTTTTTTCCAATTTAACATCAAAGTATTATTTATAATTTTATTTTAATTTTAATATTAAATTATATTTTACAAGGATAATTCAACAAATTATTTTTTATCTTATCATGTTAATTTTTAATCCAACTCATTCAATATAAACTTTTTTAACAAAAAATATAGTATATAATAAATTATAAAACTAATTTATCATCTCATCTTAATCAAATACTAAATTAAAAGAGAATACAACATAATTATCATATAATGTATTTTATCCTTCCTACCAACAACTAGATTGAAATATAATGTAATATATAAATAAATAGTAATTTTATAATGTAAATCACAATTCTTATAAAGTCAATCATTTTTTGAAAATAACTTATAATATAGAACAAAGATAGATGTAAATAATTAAGGTTATTATGGTATAAAAAAAACAATAGACATGAAAATTTGAAGAAAAAAAAATAATCCTATAAATTGGATTAAGAAAGTTGCTTAGGTGATAGATTATTTAGATACATAGAGATAATAATGATTAACAGAACAAAAATGTGTCTAATTAAGGAGAGGTTAAGTTAATAACTTCAATTCTAATATATACACCAATTTCCATGATACACAACTTTATGTAACATGCAAGACATGATAAGATTATAATGTAAAGTTTCATTCCCTTTGTCCTATTAAGGTCTTCTAAGTCTTGATATCAAAGAATGCATCTATCATTCACCTAACAAACTAAAACGACGTGGTAGCGATGCATATTTCATCTTTATATAAATTTGTGTTTTGCAGTCATTTATGAATATGCAACTTAACAAAGAACTTAAGCCAATAATCTAATTAAGATAGTGAGAAAGTGAGTGAAAATGGGTTATTCTTGGATTCCAATCATGCTTCTCATTTCTTGCATTCTTCCAGCTTTGGTTGAGTGCAAAGTTAGGCATTACAAATTTCATGTAAGTAATGTATAAAGTTTAATCATATTAATCATGCATATGATAATAATAATTAATTTTCTCATAGAATTTCCTAATTTTGGTATAATTAATAATGAGTGCAGGTGGTGGCCAAAAATACAACTAGATTATGTTCAAGCAAATCAATTATAACTGTTAATGGGAAGTTTCCTGGACCCACTCTTTATGCAAGAGAAGATGATACAGTTCTTGTCAGAGTTGTTAATCAAGTCAACCACAATATTACCATCCATTGGTAAGAAATCATAATTCATTTTAATTTTTCTTCAACTTACATAAATATAATCTGATAAAAATTGACGTATTTATATATATTTGGTATAAATTTCGGACCAGATAGATCAACTTTCTTTGACGAAATAGTGAAAGATGAATATCTATTATGAATAAAATTAATTTTAATGAATTAACGGCGAATTTAAGCCATTATTATGATAATGTTTTGGCAGGCATGGAATTAGGCAGTTGACAACAGGTTGGGCTGATGGACCTGCATATGTGACACAATGTCCAATTCAATCAGGACATAGCTATGTCTACAACTTCACCATTACTGGTCAAAGAGGAACACTTCTTTGGCATGCACATGTTAATTGGCTAAGATCAACTGTTCATGGTGCCATTGTTATTTTGCCAAAGAAAGGTGTCCCTTATCCTTTCCCAAAGCCAGATGATGAACTCGTTTTGATACTAGGTAAGTAAAATTACAACCAACCGGCTTAAATTTTTGGAGACTCTGTGTCGGTTAGATACAGTTCAACATAACTATAAAAATTTTGAAACTCTGTGTTGTAGTTCATCTTGCAGACATCTCTGATTACAACTAATATATATTGACAAATTGTAGGAGAGTGGTGGAAATCCGATACCGAAGCTATCATCAATGAAGCTCTAAAATCAGGATTGGCACCAAATGTCTCAGATGCTCATACTATTAATGGACTTTCTGGAAAAGTTAACAATTGTTCTACCCAAGGTATTTTCCGCATTTCAAAAACGGAATTCGGTACACTAGGTTTACAACACTCGCATACTTCATATTATTCGCACTAATCTCTTGTTTTAAAATTTTACTAAGTATAACTAATGTATCTGGTATATACAGTCCATATACATCGTTTATTCAATGAATCTAAATAATGAAAAATTATTTCTCGTTTTTTAAGAATTTTTGTCTATGCAGATGTATACAACCTACCTGTTGAGAATGGCAAAACATACCTACTAAGAATCATCAATGCTGCACTCAATGAAGAACTTTTCTTCAAAATAGCAGGCCACAAACTCACAGTTGTAGAAGTTGATGCAACATACACAAAACCATTCACAATCGAAACAATCGTCATCGCGCCCGGCCAAACAACAAATGTTCTTTTAAAAGCAAACCAAAAATCCGGAAAATATTTAGTCGCAGCTTCACCTTTCATGGACGCGCCTATCACCGTCGACAACGTAACAGCCACAGCCACATTGCATTACTCAGGAACTACTCTTGCAAACACTCCAACTTTTCTCACTACACCCCCTCCTAAAAACGCTACACAAATCGCTAACAACTTTTTAAACTCGTTAAAAGGACTTAACTCGAAGAAATACCCGGTTAAAGTGCCGTTGAAAATCGATCATTCGCTGTTTTTCACTGTCGGGTTAGGAATCAATCCTTGTAAATCATGTGTCGCTGGAAATGGTAGCCGAGTTGTAGCTGCTATTAACAATGTGACATTTGTTATGCCAACTACAGCGTTACTACAAGCACATTACTTCAATGTTAAAAATGTTTTTACTACGGATTTTCCAGCGAACCCGCCGCATATTTTTAACTTCACCGGAGCCGGACCTAAGAACTTGAACACTGACAGTGGTACCAAGGTTTATAGGCTAGCATTTAATGATACAGTTCAGCTTGTTATGCAAGATACCGGAATCATTGCGCCGGAGAATCATCCGGTTCATCTTCATGGGTTCAATTTCTTTGTTATTGGTAGAGGAGTTGGAAATTATAATAGTCAAGTTGATTCAAAGAGTTTTAACCTTGTCGATCCTGTTGAAAGGAACACAATTGGCGTGCCGGCTGGTGGTTGGGTTGCAATTAGATTCCGAGCTGATAATCCTGGTAAAAATTCTCAATCTCTAATATTTCTTAACCGTGACAAATATTTTGTAAAAATTTTATAGTCATATTTTCGACATGTAAGCTTTTAAATTACGTGCAGTTGTATGTTCTTAAAGACGATCCTGTGTTGTTGTTTGTTTATGTCTGAATTTGTTGTTGTAACATTTTCAATGTGTTTGTTATGTAGGAGTTTGGTTCATGCATTGCCATTTGGAGGTGCATACAACATGGGGTCTAAAGATGGCATTTTTGGTGGACAATGGGAAAGGACCTAAGCAATCAGTGATACCACCACCAAAAGATCTACCAAAATGTTGATATTTCTCTTGACATCAATTTCATGATACAATTTGCAAAAAGTGTAGGCCTTCCAATTCACAAGTGTAGGTGTGGAGGGATACAGAGGAGCCAGGCAAAAATAAAAGAGAGAATGTTTATTTAAAAAATGAGTATCTAAATTGTTTTTTGATTGAGCAAAAAGGGAGAATTTGCTCAAACTTGTTTAATAAAATGGAAGTGTGCATTTTAGTTTTCATTACACACAATTTTTATGAGATAATGCTACTTATGTATGGAACCAACAAGTGTACACTTTTGGCTTTGGTGTTTGGTTAATACAAAAAGGTTATTTACTTCATTATATTTGTTGATGATTTTGTACTAAGGATAAAGTTATCTAAATAAAAGTTTTAGATCTCAAAGTTTTAGAATGAAAAATACTTTTAAAAAATCAAGAAAAGGTTATGTGAGAAATAGTAAAGAAACACTTTTAACAATTGTTGCATGTTAGTTATAGAACCCCTTATAGCCTGGTTGTTCTTGTAGCACAAATAATATACTTGTTTTAATATTAGTTATTCGAATAGACCACTTTCTTTTCAAAAATATAAAAGTGTTTTTTTTGGAAATAATTAGGTTTATTGTGATCTCAAAAACAATTTTTTTTTCTTTATTATTTAATCGCCTCACACTATCTAGATTTAAATTAAATTTTTAATTGGACTTAAGAATCTATTTGGTTTAATTGAAAGGAGGGGAAGGGAGAGATTTTTATTAAGGAGAGGAGAGAGGAGAAAAAGAGAAAGAATGGATTTTAATTACATATATATTTGGCTCAAAATATGAAAGGGGTGGAGGGGAGAGATTTTATTTACAAATATGTTTGGTTCACAAGACGATGATAGATATTTTAAAATAAATTTACTTTTTTATCCTTCTACTTTTATCATAAGACTTGTAATATTTACCGTTTATAATTCAAATACAAATTTATTGACGAAATATAAATGTTCGATCAGACATCATGAAATATTTTATAAAAACACAAAGATTATAATATATAATTGGCTAAATTACAGTTTTTGTCCCGCTATTATTATAAACAAAAATATTATGATAATTAAAATTAATATTAAAATATGAAAAATAAAATAAAAAATTTAAACAGATATTATGATAATAAGATGAAGATATAAAAATATAAAAAATATAAAAAGAAAGATTAAATTTGTTCAAAATGAAACTTTTAACATTGTTATAAGTTAAATTTATATTTAAATAAATAATAAGGGTAAATATACTTATAATTAAAATCAAACATCTCTCCTCCCCTCCAAATCGGGGAAAACAAAAAGTGGTTCAGAAGAGATTTTGGTCTCCTCCACCTATCTCACATCTCCCTCTTAAAACTTGAACCACACACATAAATTATTAACTATTTCCTCCCTTCCTCTCCATTTACCCTCAATCAAACAGACCCTAAAAGAAACTCAAACTCTCATAAATTAAATGCCAGTAAGGGTCTCTTAACTTATAGTTTTTTTTAGTCCATAGTAATGAAAAATCCTTATTTGATAATTGTCTTATAATTTTTAGTTTGTAGCTTTTTAAATTAGTTTTACATTTTTTTTAAAGTTATTTACATTTCTTTTAATTATTTAAATTAATTTTTGAGTTTGTAATTTTTAGCTTGTGACTTTTAACAAAAAAAATATATATATATTTTATCCTAAACCCCACGGAATTTTTTTTAGCTTGTGACTTGTAACACCCTTCTAAACCCCACAGAAAATATATGAATAATCAGAGTAAATAATCATGCATTCACAAAAGAGCGTCACACTTAACTTTCAAACATCAAAAACCACTTGTCATGCTCATTAACACTTTAATGAATAATTATGCTTTTCAAGATTCCACTTTGCATGTAGCAGCGGATTCAATTTATATTCATAATTCTCTTAACAGAACATTCATGATCATCACATAATTCAACATTACTTAGGCATTCAGGGACAACATCATAATATTCCAATGAATATAAAAACACAACGTAAAGTACATAATGTATTTCAAAATATAAACCAAGCGATCCCAGTGTTACATGACCAGAGCATGACTCGACCCAACATAATTAGATGTTGGAAATTCACCTCACACCCTATGAAGAATTCCCTTCAATCTTGATCTCAAGATTGATGAACAAACCCACAATATGATAATGATGATAATAACAAGTAATTATCAAGAACAACAAAAGAGAAGAAGAATAACAAACAAGAAAGAGAAGAATGAGAGAAGAAGTATTTGGAGAGAATGTGTTACCCACAACTGTGGGATTTCTTATTGAACTTTCACTTGCTAACTGCAACTGTGAAATCTATTCTGTTGTGATGTAGAATACAAAGCAAGGCACCCTATTTATAGTTTTAGGTTTACACTAGCCCAAAACATAAAAGTCCCAAAATATTCTAAATCAAATCTAATCATATGATATCTGTTGCGGTGGAAATAGGATTACAAACTATTAATCAGTTTGAATCGCAATTCGATTCACAACCGCTCTTTGATTTATCCGAAGGAAAAGGTCAAAAGAGGGAAAACCTATTTTGCATCGTAAACATAATGCGAGGAAAGATCTAGGGTTCGGGGGTTGGTTAAATTTAGGGAAGGTATTAGCACCCTAAACTTCCGTAGTACTCTACGGGAACCTTTTGTTCAAATGTTTACTATTTTGCTTTATTTATTTGCTTAAGGTATATGTACAAAGGGATTAAAAGTGAGAAAAGAGACCTAAGGGGTTAATTCTAAGTTTACTCGGCAAGACATCGCATCTTGTGCCTACGTATTCTTACGGGAGTGGAATCAGAGTAATCGTAGTTCCCCTCAAAAGGGAGGTTAGAGACTTCTTGACTGTGGTCAAGGTCTCAAGGGGAATAAACATGTCTTAAGGACACGCTTACGCGGAGTGTAGGAACTCCAAATTTCTACGTTGAAATGTTAAGTTGAAATTAGGGTTAAATTAGGGATTCCACGGCGGGAAACCCTAAAATGAGCGCGGCGGCTCTTTGACCTAATGCTAGAGGTAAAATGGTAATTTTGCCTGCGGCGAGGCGTTTATGAAAAATTAGGGTTTGTAAGGTTTTGAAGTTTTGAGGACTATTGGCGCGGCGACCAAAAGCTAGACCTAACCTTCGGATGTGTGTAGTGTGACAGAATAATTGATGAATGTGTGAGACTTGAATCATGCAAGCAGCAAAATTTTAAAAGCAGAAACGTAAACGCGATTATTGGTTCGCGAGGTTACAACCGAGAAGCAATTACAATAATGATGAAACTTAAATAAAACACGATGTAATAAGCTGCAAAATGAACACACGCGTTAATGGGCAAAGTCGTACGGTAATTGGACAAGAGTGCAATGTTGAAGGTTTTTGTTGTTTTTAAAGAAAGAAATTTGATTAAGTTAAAAATGTTTAAGCACAAAATTAATTTAAATTTTCAACAAAAATGGTTTTAATTTAATTATCTACAAATTTTTTAATTCAAAAAAGTTTGATGACATTATTTTAAAAAATGTTTTTTTAGTCCTTATTTTAAAGAAAACTTTGATACTATTTATTTAAAAACAATTTTAATATTTAAAAAAAAGTAAAAGGTTTTTAAAAAACAATTTTTAATATTTAAAAAAAAGTAAAAGGTTTTTAAAAAACAATTTTTAACTATTAAAAATTAAAAAGGTTTTTAAAAAACAATTTGTAAAAACAAAAACAAAAATAAAAGGGGTTGGGCCGGTAATCACCTCCGGACCCAACCCGGTTGGTGAGTAACAAAGACTAAAACACATTTTTAGGGTTTCAGAACCCTATTGTCCCCTTCGCGGCGCCGTTTATCTTTCTCTCGCTCTTGCTTCCGTCTCTCGCTGTGATTCTCTCTTCAATCATATTGAAAATCTGAAATCAAACCGAACAACGTTAAAAGTGACGGTATTATGTTCTTTGCTTACGTTTTTCGTTCGCAATCGGTATCGAATGGAGGCGATGATGGTGAACTGAGCCTCCGAGATGTTTGCCCGTCGTTGAATGAACGGCGCCGGCGAACCTCTTTCGTTGGGTGTGATCGATGGCTATTTGTGATGGCTTTGGTTGAAAACTTCTTCTTCTTTCGATATCGCGGCCGCTAGGGTTTTGCTCGTGATTGTTGTTCGCCGTTTTTCTCTCAGCGGTCCCTCCGTTTTCTCTCTCAGTGCGTTAGGGTTCCAACACGGTGAGATTGTTCCTTTTATAATTTCTTTTTTGGGGCTTTTTGTTGGTTCTGGATTTTACTGAGGTATGATATGATTTTTGTGGACTTGTGAATCTGATAATATTTCGATTTGATTGAGATTCTTTCCATTTTCGAATTCTGATCTCATCTGGATTTCGTTGGGTTTGCTTTGATTTGGATAACCTGCATTGGCTTGGATTTCTGGATTTGAACCCAATTAACTTTTCTCTTTCTTCTTTCAGAACTGGTGCCAAGGTTTTGGTCGAACCAAATGTCGAGAAGGGGTATACGGCGATGATGACGCCCTGTCTGAGCCATCGGACTATGATGCTGTTGCCATTTAGTTTTGACTCTGATTTTGGCTGATGTTATCAGATGCTGATACATTTTTAGATCCCTTTTAGAACAAACATCTGCTTTTTCTGATGAGATTGGTTCTACGAGCGACCATCTCGTTTTTCTGATGAGTTTATTGACTTTCCTTTTTCTCCTTTTCAGAATTGGTACTGATGCTTGGGTTGAGTCGAAGCTGCCGGGAATGGTATGTGGTAATGATGACCCTTGGTATGAACCGTCGGAACTACGCCTTGCCGTTTCTGTCATGAAATTACAACATTCGGTACTGCATTTGATTGCAAAACGATTTGCGACTTATCTTGATATTGAAGATGTGAACTTAGGGCAATGATGCTCTGACTGAGCCCTCACCTTTCCTTGCTTGATTTTCATGTGTGCCTCGAGCTGGTATAATCTTAACCGGATCCTGATGTTTT